CACCAGAAACTTGAAGATCTAACTGTATTCGGTGAAATTAACAAAGCTGTCATAAGAAGACATTTCATTTCATAGGAAGACATATAAAGACTTTCATATAAAGTTCATAAGAAAACATTATACAGGGAGTAAAAGGAAAACTAAGATGACAGAAGTTTTAATCAGTTCTCCTGGTGACTGTGTTAATTAATTACTCATTAGGGATACTAGAATGATGAAATGAATCTGACATTGACCACGGCTAATTCAGTAATGATCATATTATAAAAATAATACAATATAGGGTTTTCAATTTTCCACTGGAATGACCCTAAAAAACGTGTTTAATTTACTCTCCCGACCGGATTTTCCGGAAACATTTTGTTTATGATAAACAACCCTATATTCTATTATAATGTGATCATTATGTGAATTAGTCAGTTGTCAGGAGCAAGGGAATATCTGAAAAGGTAATGCTGTTTTTCCGGACAGAAAGTCGTGTTCTATTGAAAAAGTCGTATTTGATATCATGCCAGTTTCAGGCTTTCTCAGCCGTTTTCCCTTAAATGGAACTGGTTTGTGCACATGATAAACGCTATTCCGGAGGAAATTTACCTTTTCTGAATTTTGTTTACCATTTACCCAAACTGTAAACTGCATGACCGGTTTGCCCATGTATAAATGGAAAACAAGCTAGGAGTAAGTTTAACCTGGACCTTGTACTCCTGGAGTGCCGAACTCATCAATTAATCGACTCATATTAAGTGACACGTTTGAGACCAGGATTTAGTACTACCGCGCGCGTGTACGTGTAGCAAACACAGTAGGCCGGAAATGAAGCGCCTTCCCAGCGTTCCCAGCGCCCCTCCGGGTGACCATATAAGTTTCCTTTCAACATGCACTGGTTATTGATGAAATACCCTTAAAATTCAATCTGTCGCTAATTATATGCAGTAAGGAGTCTTAGTAAGAGAGTTGCGAAAATAAAAACAATAATAAATAAATACTGAGCACAAGTGCGCGTCATAAAAGTGTAAACAATGCGGCAACCTTCAGATTTGACTGTGGGTATAAAATTGAGTGAGAGAGCACGATTTCGCCAAAACTGTAACTCTTTTAATTTCTAATGCCGCATGCTAACTAACAAATAAGCAAACTTCATGCACTAGAAGAAGAATACGACGGATAACCCAGAAGGCGTTGTGTTCCCCGTGCCTCTCACTAGGGGGCCGATTACTTAACTTAAGGAGGGGGGGAGTGTAAATGAAATCTGGCGAAGGGATGCAAAAAAAAACTAAGTGGAGTTATTAGTTATTAGTCATATCTTTTAATACGCAGAAAAATTAATCCTTTATTTTAATACATAAACGAGTAAAATAAGCAGCAGAGGTATCGATTTGCAGAACGTCGAACAACCGCCGAACGCCGAATTACTCTCCGATCTCAAGCGTTTAATTTATTGCTATCGTCTCGCGCGTCGTCTCGCGCCCTAATTCCCTTCCCCTTCCCTTTCGAACGCCTACCACGCAGGCTATCAAGACATAATGAGGTAGATCAATCTCTCTTTAGGCTATATATCACTGTAAAAGGATAATTATGACAGAAGGAGAAATTAAATGAAGATTCAAAATTTGCTAAGCTAATAAATTCAGTCCTTCAGATGTAATGTGCAGGTGTAACATTGGAAATATTCACTAGTACATGTAGTCTTACTATCTGAGAGAATCCTTAACAAAAAGACGTTGCTATGGGCTTAATCCTTAGACATTTGACGATACAATTTGCTTATTCAACAATGAAAATGATTCATTAGTAATTGCTTAAATTTTATCAATGCGCAACATGCTGGTTTTTACCTACATGTATAAATTTTACTGCTGCATAAGAATCTTTCTTCAGGTCCAGTGCTTCCGGTTTTGTCACCCTAGTCTCTTAACAGGAATATGAATCGAAAACCATCGCCATCGTAATTCTTTTTAAAACACTTGATGGGCTACAGTCTTTCATAGACGGCCACAGTCCTCTTTGAGACTCAAAACTAAAATTTCTAGTACGTCTGGGTAAAATTCTATAGGAACTGAAATTGAAAAAGAAAACCACCTCTTCTCTGCGCCTGAAAATCCTATCAAGATATTAATTACATGGTTTGGATGTAAATTTTTTAACATTACTTTTTTAATATTAGAATATTTTTAAGAATTTTCTTTTGGGAGTTTATGACATAGGGTCAACCTCTTAAACTCCCTTTTCAAAGTATTCTTTGAAAATATTTATCTTTGTTTTTAAACTGTTCCTTACAAACAAATGATGTTTGTTTTAAAAATGCTCCTCGTCGCGTCCGGTTTAGTGATTACTGTTTAATTGTCTGCTCCGCATTAACATGGGTGGATTTATGGGGTCGGGCGGGCTGAGGGGACGGCAGCCACCCCTTTTTTCTGAGAGATTTTAAAGAATTCTCAGTGGAATTAAAAGTATCTATATAGCTGGCAAGTGTCCCGATCACCCCTTTCTGAATTTTCTTGATTCACCCATACTTAATTACAAACGCATGATTAGACTGAGTATTTTCTGGTTATAAAGGTTCCGAGTTTGTTGTTGAAACTATATGACAGCCGTGACCCCACGCCAACGCGAAATGTCAGATACCGATGAAATATGATAAAATAAGCGAAGACCAGCGGGGAGCTCTCAAATGATTGTCCGTTTCCCTAACTTTGTGATTTTTTTTAATTTATTAGCCATTGCGAAAGAATTTCATATCTACGTAACCTTAATTTTACAAAGCACTGAAGTACACTGAATTACGAATAATCTGCGTAAGTACTGAGTATTACATTTCTATGAGGACTCACTCACCCACACGAGCCAGAATGACAAACGGCCGTTTCATAAGTCAATAGCCAAGCAATTAATAAGCTGAACAGCTGAATTTTAGCCTACGAAGCGAGCGAGCAAAAAAGATTGTCGTTTCAACTTTCGCGATTGGAAACACTTGCTACGCTGGCGAATTCAAGCTGAACTAATTTTTGCTAATTTGCTTTTAAAAACCCATTACTAAAGTAAACAGTGCTAAGCCACGCCAACGCACAAGAACTTTGTCTGATGAAGAAGAAACTAAAATTAGCCTTGATCTGCTAGATCGCCAAAAGCAATGTAACATGATTCGATTTTATAATAATCCACTGGAGTTTAGGAAGTTGGAAGACTAAGATCACGTACTCAACGTCTGGTTGACGTTCAGCTTAAGAATTAGGAATTCAGTTATTAAAGTGTTATAGTCATTATAGTAGTACAATAGAATCACTTATTGGGGAAATTAGAGACTTAAGATAAATTACTTAAAATATTAATCACAAAATCAATAATTTAACTTTAAAGGTACTTGTATATAGTATATGTGCAGCATAATAAACGAATACAGAATGATAAGTCATTGAAGTGCTAGAAAGCATTCTGATCTAGAGTTCCTCTACTGTAAATGTCCCGGGGGGAGCTCCCTTACATAAGCCATATAGTTATGTGCCGCCCCGAAGGATATATATATTTTTTTTTTCAGCCGTTTTGGTCTGAAAAGGGGTATACATTTTGTCCATTTTGGTCTGGAATCGGGTATCGTTTTCAATGGAACTACGGGAATGTGTATTTATTATTTCAGTTCAAAAATGAATACTGAGAAAGGAAGAGTAAGATACAAATTCGAAGTGGATAGGGTCACGATTTGGAGAACAAAACGGCACACACCAAAGGGAGCTCACACAACCTGTGAGTGTAACCGATTGTTATTTTATAGTAAATGCATTGGATTTACTATTTGCTTGATCTATAGCAATAAGTTAATGTATATAACTCAATGTTAAATAAACGTTGAATTACCTAACCTGTGGTATACTGTCGTCCTTTTGCCTCAAAAGCGGTTTTTTGAGTGATTTTGAGTTTGCCGTTCACCGGCCGGTTCCTTCTATTATAAGCCGCACAGTAAACGGCAAGCTAAAAAAACCGCTTTTGAGGCAAAAGGACGACAATATACTACAGGTTAGCTAATTTAACACTGATTTATATCGCTATAGGTCAAGCAAATGGTAAATGCAATACAATTTACCATAAAATAACAATCAGTCACACACACAGATTGTGTGGTTCCCCTATGCACACACCCACCAAGAATTCCAAGAACTACCCTCCGGGGGGTAAATGTATCTTTGATAATGAATAACTACATACATACATGGTTTATTTGGTTAGCAGGTCAATAGTGGCAGCTTATACAGCTGATGTGGACAAATATGATAAATAAACTAAAATATCAGATAATAAATAATTAAGATTTTACAAAGAAAGCATTCCGAGTAACTGTAACGATCAATTAACAACACTGAAAGATCAAGTTCGCGGGTTTTGGTTTTAATTCCAAATAAGACAAGATTTTGATAGTTACTGATTTCGAACTTCCTTAGGAAACATTCGGTTAACTGAATTTTCTAGTGATGGGTGCATTTCAAGGCATTCGTTTGGATTTCTTTCGTTTGTTTTACCTCTTACTCGGCCTATGCTTGAGATCTCTAAGGCAACATTATATTACTTCATATATACTAGATGTGGGTGAGGGAGTAATTAATTTTGAGTAACTGATATATCCCCCAAGGGTTCAGGGTTTCGTTAATCATTTGTCTCACGATTGTTACACAGATAATGATCGCAACGTTTCGACCGTGCACTGTATATCTATGTGACGGTCGTGGGACAAACAATCGGAACGAAACCCTTTATACACATTATTCACGATGAATAATATATTTCATGTCGATAAAACTGATATTTAAGAATATTCTTCAAATATACCATTGAAATGAATTACCAACGGTTTTCCCAATATAAAATCATCAAAGCCATGATCGCGAATTCAGTCAGACTATCTGCGACGACTTAACTCAACTCCACCTTCCCTCTGTTTACACGATAGATGAACATCGGTCCAGAAAAATGATTTCTTACGCCTCACGCTTCGATAGTCATACAAGTGGATGAGCAATACAAGCGGAAAGAGCCGAGACCTTTGGTCACAGATCATTTTTCTCGACAGTGCACACAACGGGAAGTTTACAAAAGAAGCATCCCTGAAACTGGACCGGTCGGGTAATTCTTGCCGGATCAAGCTCATTTTTCCCCCTAAAGCGGATGCCAAGTGGCTAAGGAAGAGTTAAATACCTTCGCGATCATTACATCACTCTAATTGAAGGATACTTCCGCTGATTTTGAACCTTTAAACTGTTTTACTATTCAAACTTCATGTTTGCTTAAACAACGTTCATGGGAAAAGAATTTCTCAGTATGTTTATCAATAATTCAAAATTTTACAAGCTTAGGGACATTGAATTCTTCAAACATGATACAATTGTACTAAAACATCATGGTTAGACTATAAAATAAAGATTTTCATACCGAACTTTATCTTAATCGAGTTGCCATCGCCAAAAGAGTTTGAAGTTGAACTAAAAGGTTCAGTGTTAGCAGAAGAAAATGAAGTTGAAAGTTTTTTTTGCAGTGAGTATACCAGAACTTGAAGTGCCAGGTTTTTTTTAGCCTGATGTTACTTTTAAGTTCTAAGTTTGGATTTGACTTTTGTAAATCTGGGGACCGAGTTTCATGAAACGAGTTTTCTTGACGAATACCTGCAGGTAGTGCTTGATCACGGTTTAAAAAACTGTTGTTTGCCTGGAACAATTTATCCAGATCTTTTTATCGTTTTATATACAGCCCAAAGTCCCGAAATGCACAGGTATAGGAAGGGTCAGTTACGGAAGGTTGTCGCTTAGAAGAATCGAACTACAGAGGGTCTCTTCCTAGAGGTCCTGACATATCTATTTTTTGTCGTAGAATTTATTTCTTGCAATTTCTAAGTTATGTATACGTGCAGTTTTGTTTTGACTTTCAAAGTTCTTCTTATAGTCTGAGTGGCATAGTACATACAGCGAGCAACTAGACAGCATTATGCGTCAATTGGAAAAAAATGGAAAACTACGATACTATAAGTACAAAACATGACCGAAGTCGCGTGTGAGAGGTGATCGTTCACGAGAGGTTCTAATCATTGAGTACGGACTGGGAAAAGAAGTTTTCTGGGTAGATGGTCGCTTCTTATGGGAGGTGGTGGCTCACGAGAGGTTCTAATCATTGAGCATTGACTGGGAATAAAAGTTCTCTCGGTTGGGTGGTCGCGTCTTATGAGAGGTGGTCGTTTACAAATTCGAATTTTGACTGATTTTTTTTTTTGTTTCTGCTTATCATATCTCTTTTCTTTGTTCCTAGACTGTTTTCGTCTTTTTGTTTGCGGAGGAAGTGTACTCTCTCAGACTTATTTACGAGGGTGCAAGGAGCAATGACAGAAGATGCAATTATGATGGGCGTTATGTGAGAATAAACCTGAAGGAATGTCGTGAAAATAATAATTCGCGAAACGAATGTCCAGCATTTGCGGATGACGAAACGAGCAAGAATTTCAACACAAGTAAGTTGGCGGGTTTTCTTGATGTCGTTCTACTGCTCTCAGCCACTTTTTATCTCAAAATTATTTTAAGACGGCAGAAAATTTCAAATTTTATTACCGCCACTGCGGGGATCCTGTGGTCTAGCCGAATTCTTATGTTATTGGCGATACAACATGATATCCGACACACCCACCCACACTCGGTAAAGTCTTTTTCACTCCTTCTAGAAATATTAAATTTTGCAGTGTTATTCTTTTTTTTTTCCTAAGGTTGAATAATTGAAAATTTGTCCCTTATCAACCCATTTGGCTCTCTCTGGTTTGATCAGGAATGTGTCACCACTTGCCAAAAAATTCAAGTGTGAGATTTTCTAAAAGGCACTGGTGCTATGTCATAAAGCTTATGTATTGGTGTTATGTTTCTGCAGATTTTACGTTGGAAAGTGGAAAAAAAAGTGGAAAAAAGAGATGCATCTCTTTCAACAACACCTATTCACTTACGGTACAAGGAAACAATGTCAGCTTCGTGGTGAGTGAAAACACTAAAGACTGACTCCCTCTGCAAAGCCCTGCCGTAGGAACGTGGGTCAGCTTACTCATGATTTACAACTGATCGAAGACACCTACATGGGCAAAATGAAATCTATGAGTCTGTTATTTGAGAAAAGTTAGAACGCAGTTTAAAGTTGTTAGCTCTCAAAAGTTGTTTACAACTATTTTTAAGGAGAGTTCTCGGCGGGAAAATGTAAATGCCCCGAGAATCGCCGGGACATTTTCGGAAGTACTACCCGTTGCACTACCGCAATAGATGCAGGGAATTTCTTGCTTTCGGATTGGCTGTATTCTTTATGGCATGGGATAAATTGACGTATGAATGGTTATTGCATGGATGCTATTTATATTTTTAGTTATGTTACTCTAAATTCTGTAAAGCCTTTTCACTCATATGGCCTACACCTATGCAAAGTTATTGGAACAAAAGGACGTTTTCACATAGGAAAAAGTTTCAACTCCCACGGTAATGGTTAGGAAAGCAACAATGCCGCCTTTCTATTGCTTTTGGGACACTAATATGGCGGAAGTGTCGTCATGTAAAAATGCGCTATTTAAAACCCAAAAGACATTCAATCGGATTCGTTGGTGAAAAGTCTTGCTGGAAGAGCATTCCTAAGAATCCCTTTCTGATACTTATATGTCTATCGTAATTGATAATAATCGTCATTATTATATGGCTGAGTCTGTTTTCGCCACGCGATTGGTCAATTTGCGGTCCGTAACTTGCCATACGGACCTAAATTTTTAAAGAAAACGCTGAATTCGGAGCTCTTAATCTCTTTACCTCGGAAAAAAGGTTTAAATAAAGTTATAAGACGCCTGTCAACCTTTAGGACTTGGATGTTGACTTTGGCCTTCAACATTTTAAACTGTATTTATTTGTGAACGAAGGCGATGAAAAAACTAACTCGTAATCTTATCGAAGAGGATTCTAGTCAGTGTTTGAAAATTTTATCGTAGTACACAGTTAAGAAGACGAAAATCGACTGGCAGAGATTCGAGATGTTTTGCCTAAGAGAAAATGAGTAATTCCTTCGACAATTATGATAACAAACACACCTGCACCCGATCATCTTGACAAGCTTCTTTGCCATTTGCCGTGTTTTTTCAAAGACCAACGAAAGAAAGATAGAAACGAGTTCGAGCCAGACATGTCCAGTTTTCAAAAGACTCCAGCGTCACATAAACGAGTGAATACTTACAGTGCTGTTAGTTTTGACTGTAAACATTGAGGACTGGGATGTTGACTTTGCCTTTCCAAATTTTAACCTAACTTTGTTTTAATGAGAACGAAGGTGATGTAGAAACTGAATCGTAACCTTACCGAGGAAGAGAATGCTAGTCAGTGTTTGAAAATTTTAACGCAGATCACAACTGAAGACGAGAATGAACCGGCAGAGAGGTTTTCCCAAAAACAATTAACGAGGGAATCCTTCGACAATGACAACAAACTTACCTTGAAAAGCTTCTTTGCCTTTTGCAGTGTCTTTTTTTTTAAAAGGACAAACGGAGGAAAGATGGAAAAGACTTCTAGACAGACACAGTGTCCGGTGTCCAAAATACTCCAGCGTTATATTAAAGAGCTAAAACTTACAGTGCTCTCAGTTTTGACCGAATAAACTTTTTCAACATGTTGAATTTGTTTTTACTTTCTCGGAAAGCCTTTGTTATGTGCTATTGTTTTCGTGCGCCAATAAAAACTATCTTTTTTGACGCCTGTCAAATGAATGTCAAAACGTGCGTCCTGCACTTGTTTCCGGTCCCCCAAACAGGAAGAAGCCATGTAATAAACATTTATTAGCCGAGTTTTTTCGGTCCTTACTGTAAATTACGGATCCTCTTTTTTTCCATCGATTTATGGCCCGCGCGCTTCGCGCTTAGGCCATAAATCGATGGAAAAAAACGAGGATCCGTAATTTACAGTACGGACCGAAAACTCGGCTAATAATAGGTATGTAGTAAAAACTTCATCATTGAATTGTTACATATAGAAGATACAATCGATCTTTTTTGCTTTTTCAGAATGTTTCCTGTCAAGATAATGTCAATAAAGTATTTTGGTTTAATCATTATGAAAAACTCGACAGTGAGTATGGACATTATCATGTGTTTTACTACTACAAACGTAAACAAGGAAAAAGGTTAATGTGCCTTACTCGCGGCTGTACTGGAACCTTGAATGTAACTAGTGTTAACTCAGTAGAAGACAGAAAATGCCCCTTCAGGTTCCACTCTAATAATTCATGATAAGTTAATGTGACAGAACAGAATGGGGTTTTGTTTACTGTAGGACATAATTCTATATCAATTTATTAAGGTAATTTTCCTATTTTTAAAGTCTTTTTTACTTGTAACTTTAAAGTTGTATCGCATTTCATAGAAAGAAGTGAACTGGATATTTAAAGCTATGGTGCAACCGGTAATATTTCTTACACTAGTCACTAACATTGGCAGTGTACATTACCAGTTAATTCATTATTACATTTATTCTCCGCCATGGTAATGAATAAGCAAGCTAAAAATAAGAGGATCTTGAACGCTGGCCGTCTGTTTGCAGTTCCATGGCGGCCGATAAGGATAATTATACCAATGCAACCAACACGACAGTGACACGACGTTCTAACAGCGAACAGTATCGCGTGATTGCCAAAGCTAATAGTCAATTGATCAAAGGGCACGATACTGGGACAGGGGAGGGGGGGATACTTGCGTTAATTTTTGCTGGGTGTGTGCCGCTGGCCTCTCAGAACCCCTACCCCATTATAGTAGTCTGTATTCTGTGGCCAGTTGTAGACCCCATCCTCGTCACCTTTGGGCAAATATGTAATTTTCGCGATCCCAACTAAGTCACCTTAATTTCTATTTTTATGAATTGACCCATGTTTTAGATTGAATGAAGAACACTTTACTTTTCTCCTACAGTGCAAACATTCTGGTACGTTTGCTAGCCGTACATAAATGGAGAACTAGTGTCTTATCCCCAAAAATTCGAAATTGTGCGACCCCATTATAGTCACTCCAGTGGTGAAAATGCGACGGCATCCAGCGGCACATCCCATCAGCCTCTTATAAGGAAGTACGTACCCCCCCTTGGGTATTGACTGCGTTAAGTAGTACATAACTTCATACGAAACGCCTGGCGAAGACTCCCCACCTCCTGAAGACGAGGTTTGAAGATTCCATGAGAAAAAGGTGGTGATACTGGCCGGAAAAAACTAAAATCAAACCAGACGAAAGCCATGCAGACCTGCGCGTTGCAATTGTCAGCTGCATTGTTCAACCTCTAAATAATTAACAAAAGTAGAATTTAGGACAACCATGTAGCCAGTGTAGCTGTAAATTATATTGCAATAAAGAGAGCAGTTATTATTAAACTATTTTCTCTCCTCTCTTCTTTTTTGCTTACCTTTTCTTGACATCCCGTGAAGTGATACTTGAGCAGCAAAACAGAATTTTAATGGCGGTCCATTCCCTATAAGTAATACCTAATTCTATAACTATGTGACGACGAATATCCGAGCCCTTTCATTCTGGAGCTAATCATTAAGCAACAGTCATCAGTGTCTCAGTTTGTCCAAAATGGTGACAGTGAGGCAAAACTGAAGTCCACTGAAGGATGTGCATGAATGATATGTTCATTGTAAACGGGGCTTACTTACAGTAAGCTTCGTTGACAACAACAAGAACAAACAGCAAAAGCTGATTTCCAGGCCGGCGCGTAGGCAAACACGCATTACAGAAGCAAGTTGGTGTTCCCTGGGGATGCAAAATGTCACAAATTTATAGAGAATAATTTATTTCGTAAAAATTTACACAATGCAGCTATTTTTACAATATATGTTGGTGCGAGGTTTGGAGAATAATTAATATTGGTTCTAAAATATTTACACACAAATTAAGGAATCTGAGTGATCCAGCAGAAGGCAAAGAGGCATGTTTGCCTTTAAACTCGGAAAGCTATCGTGCTGTTTTGCCTGGTAAGAAAGATTGTTCCAGCGCATTGCACCACTATACTTAAAACTACGAGTGAGGAAATTTGTTTATGGCCTTGGAAGTGCTAGATCATTTTCAAGATTCCTAAGATTATGATTGGTGCTATTATGGTTGAATTTTGTAAGGAGCTGTTAGATGGAGACAGATTGATCGTTAAGTCAGTTTTATACATTAGGGTAGCCTTGACAAGTGGACGACTGGTTTCGAGGTTTTTCCATTTCAAATTATCATTTACAAGCACATCTACATGTACCGATCTAATGCCGTATGATATGATAAACACGTTAATCATAAAGAGAGTACCTGAGACCCAGACATTAGAGTTTCAAGGTTCCAGTTGGACTGGTCGTTTACTAATTGTGAGGGGTGCCGGTTATTTGGGAAAGTTTAAAAATATTTCAAACCGACCTCCCCATTTCATCATAGCTTTGTAGAAATGACCTCCATTGCTGTGGATACTACGAATATTCTAGCTACAAATCTTGTCGAAGCTAAGTTCACCACATACAGTCGAACCTCCATAAGCGACTACCTGTCGCGACCACCTCCCATAAACGACCGTCAATCCAAAACACCAAAATTTTCTCAGTCAAGGCCTTACAGTTGGTGCCTCTGTTAAACGACCACCTCATGTAAGCGACCGCGACCGCCTTTGGGGCCTGAAAGCTTAATGATTTTTAACCTCTTGTAAGCGACCACCTGACGCATTTTCTGATCTCTATGTTCGCTGTGTGCTCTGTGCTACTTTTGAATTTACGAAGAACTTTAGTGACAAAATGAAGTACACATGGCGTAACTTAGACATTGCATGGGGGGATTGCAATAGATCATCTTCCATAAAGTAGATGTGCCAGGACCTCTTCTCGGATGAGGCCCCTTATGGTTCGATTCTTATAAACGACCAGCTCCCGCAAGCGACCACTAAGTCTTTGCATTTTGGGTGGTCGCTTACGGGAGGTTTGACTGTACTTTATCTGCAGTAGTGTTTCTAAGGGGGTGTTTACATGAGAAAACTCGCACCGGCGCGAGTTTCATACCGGGATGACTTTTTTTATTTCGTATCGCGTTTACATTATTACTGGGTCATTTCATATCTCGTTACTTGAAGGTACACTTCATGCTGATAAAATACACGTAAGATTCAAAATCGAAAACATTTCGCATCAGCTACCCGTTCCAGTCTACCGGCAGACCGATTTCGCACCAAAACGTGTGGTCGTTTCACGTTTACATGATACTGTTGCGAGAATTCGTACCGGAGTGAAATTCTCGCCCCGGTACAACAACCGGGGTGACTCGATCCGACATGACATTTTGTGGTGGTATCATGTAACAAATGTAGAGCCATGAGAGGGAACCGGAGTGAACTCACTCCGGCGCGAAAGTCGCGTCAGCCCCTAAGATCGGCGTGTACCATTCCCGGCTGTCGAATTTAATTTCAATTTTGCTACTGCGTTTGCATTACTTTCATGAAATTTATTAAAATGGCCCTCCAGGTAACGCTCCCTTATCTGAAAAGTACCACCCAAAATCAATCAAGATATTGAAAATATTAATGTTCCCACGGACATTTTAGCCTGCGCTGTCGAAGGCGGCTTTCTTCTTAAAAACAGAGAATCCAACATGGGGGACAACGCACAGCTTAATATGTTCCACGTCGATCCAGCAGAAAATCCAAAAGAAGGAAGCTGTACGAGGTAAAGAGAATAATCGAGTGGCGGAAAACCAAACACGTGAGTCGATTTTTTCGTGTCAATCCTGAAAGTTGATCCATTTGTGTAGCTAACGATGCAAAATGGCGGGCACCAACTTCCCCTCACAGGTAAAAAACGGCCAGCCCCAGGGTAGCTTTATACACTGGAATTTAGTATCAGCCTATAAAACAAGTCCCATCATGCTTTATCAAGTTTGCCGGACTACATCTCGTCAACGAACTACATAGTCATCTTATTCCTTTTCGCCTAATATTGAGTTTTCCGTGGAGTCATTTCTTTCTTCTGGACTTGGGTATAGCCATGTATTTGTGTGACGGCTATCGGGTGTCCCTCAACACTTGGTTTTACTTGTTAATAATATACTTGAAAAAAATTTCTCCATTGTGATTGGCTAAGATAAATGCAGTTTAGGTAACACGGTGCAGAAAAATTGTAATTTAGTGCATAAAAGGGTAACAAACGTGACACTCTCATTGGCTAATAAACAAAGGAACTCACAGAGAGCCAATCAAATGCGCCATCTAAATGGCGCAAAATACGTATCCGCTCCGGACCAATTTCGAGCAAAAACCGCAATGGTTGGCGTTTGCAGCACATTTGCTTTTGCGACTGAAACAACTATAGAGGAGCTGAAAAACTGCTCTAAAAACGAAAACACTGCGAAAAGCAAGTCTACAAGATTGTGGGTTACTCCAAAAGGACCTGGACAATCTGCATGGCTGGAGCGATAATTTGCACCTACAGTTAACACCTCGAAATGTGAGGTACTGTACAGTACCGCAAATGATCCCCAAATGATGCCGAGACCGCAAATGATACCCAAAATGGACCGCAAATGATCCTCGACCGCAAGTGATCCCCAAAGTTGACCGCAAATGATCCCGTGAAAACTTGAGAAATGGAATGGATTTTATGGGACTGATTACAAAAAAGGACTGATTATAAAAAAAGGAACGCGCCTTCTAAATAAAGAGGGAAGGAGGACGCTTCGTCTCAGGTCAATTTATACAAGGCCAAAAAAAAGTAGAATAAATCTGAAAAGGATATGGTATCAACCGTATACTTCTTCCATTGTCAATTGCTTCAATTTTCTTTAAAGAACTGTTTCGTCGCTGAAAATTTAAGACAGGCAGGACGTTACGCAGGAAAAACTCTATTATTTTAACGCCCAAGCTCAATGTAACTTGTCTACTGAGGAATACAAAGCTGGGCACCCTCTACATAACAAGACCCTCCCTTTACTGATCTTTTTAGAAGTGTCCAATTAATTTTCAGAATATTTAGTTTTGATTTTTCTCTGAAGTGTTAATTTTACGTGATAAAAAGCAAGACATTGGTTCGTAACTTAGGAGTGTCCCAGGCCTGGGAGTGCCCTTTACGAAACAGAACATGATTTGAAATAAACACACGTAGTGCCCCCGAACTTATCAATGTCCACAGGTTATGGTTTATTTTGAAAGAGCAACTTGCTTACAGCTCATGAACATGTTGCGAATAGTTATATTGACGCTTATATGTATATCCATTTGTTGTGTCTTTGCTGGAGACAGTTACCAAGAATCTAAACCTGGTAATGAGAAACGCAAAAGCGAGGCAAGCGGTAGTTATCGAGTGACAAAACATCGTAGGAACCGTCACATTCACGGACTAAAAAAAGTCGCTTATAATTATTCGGATCCATGAGGCACTTTAAAGAAAATTAAACAACCTAAAACCCTTATTTAGCCGCAATGAAAAGCATTGCATTTGAAAAGAGGTCAAAGGAATTAAATGCTCTTGCATTAAAGGACAAATCATGCCGACCAGAAACAACAATAACTGCCGAAAATGCGTGTCATGACCTCTCAGTATGAAATAAGCGGCAAAAATCACATTTACTCAGACAAAACGTTTTCCTTCAGAGGTATAATCTACCCGCCAGAGAGAAAATTCATTGGAACAAGCAGCATTTTGGCATGAGGTAAAAGTCGTGTGTTGCCTACCGACTTCGTTTTTACACTTGAATGATTTTTTCATTTAGTTTTTATTCATGTATTTATTTTAGAACTGAAATTTTGCGTTTAATCTTACTTTTTGTAATAATAATAAAATAGACACGATGATCCGCTAACTCGAGTCTAAGCCATTCCTATTTTTCTTTCGGGATCATTTGCGGTCAACTTTGGGGATCACTTGCGGTCGAGGTTCATTTGCGGTCCATTTTGGGAATCATTTGCGGTCTCGGGATCATTTGCGGTTGGGGATCACTTGCGGTACTGTACAGTACTAACTGTCACACGTAAGCTAAGATTACAAGTTAAACAACAACTCACTTAAACACGTCACTCAGGTAAAAGACCTCGGGATGACAATCTCGCTGGACCTCACATGGGATACTCAAATTAACACTATCTTAGCTAAGGCTAATAGCATGCTCGCAGTTTTGCGCCGCAATAGTGTTATGTCCACTACAGACCATTATGAAATTACTATATCTCACCTTTGTAAGATCATATGTTGGCCATACTAGCGAGGTATGGGCTCCCAGTACGATATGTAGTATAACAAAAATAGAGAGTCTTCAACGCAGGGCAAAAAAAATCATCTTGTACACGCACTGGCAAAGAGATATTTCTTCTAATGAGCGCCTTTCACGCCTCAATCTGCTGAAAGTGAAAGAATTAATTTTTTTATTTCAAGTGTTGCCCTGGCTACAACACGTTACGCATAGATGATTACGTCAAGCCTAAAGGCACTCGTCTCACTCGCCAAAGCTCTGATCAAGACGTACTAATTCCCACGTGCCGTACAAATCTCTTTCAATTTAGTTACCTTAACCGTATTGCTAAACTCTGGAATACGTTACCTGAATCCACTCGTACTCTTACTTCTCTTGATCGGTTTAAATTTCACGCACTTCAACGCTACTCGGCTACTTTTCGTACAAACTAAGACGTCACTCACTTTAACACCTGGAAGTCGATCTGCTGCAAATGCAGTAGGTCACGAATCTTCTACTAGCTGGCAACTGCTGCTACTGAGCCTTTTTCTCGACTGCGGGAGTGATTAATTCTCGACCATCGAGTGGCAAGAGTTGAAAAATCGATTTCCTTCATTGTTTGTTCATAAATAGCTGTTAGGTAGATAAGTAATCTGATGTAAGTTGTTCTCGCAGAAAGCCTTTTATTTTCGAGAAAAGTAAGAATATCAGTTTTCGTGGTCGGAGTCTCAAAATGGCCGTATTTTCAACCCGAAATTTGCTAAGATCAACTCTCCTCGCGTTCGCAAAAAAAGTCGCAGGGAGAAAATTGGACACTTTCTATCGATAGAACAACTCTTCTTCTTTCATTGGAAGATACTTTCAAAGCAATACCGAAACGTGTTGAACTGACATAATTCAAAAACGAAGAACAAGTTTTTACGGTGACAAGAACCTTATTTTAGTAGTTGTTTTCTGCGGCATTATTCTTCATGTGGTATGGTTCCAAATTTTCCCAGTTCTCGTTTATTCACACATTTAGACATTCAACTAAAACACACCTGAGAATTGGCTTAGGTTCCCTAAGGCAGCCTCCAAACGAAAGCATCGAAGTCCGGTATATATAGTGAAGCGTGACAAAAACAACATATTTAACGGCTACAAGGTTCTTCGATCGTAAAGTATTAGACACAGATCCTTAGAAATAAATAGTATTATACAAAAAACGGGCTTCTTCAAATGGTAACACAGTCTGTATAGGATTTTGAAAGTAGATTCAAAAGTAAGACCACCAATTGTTCTCTCCTAAGGATGTTCTAAAGTGAGCGGGTTATCTTATGAATAACTGCTTTAAATGCTTTCGTTTCAAGGTTCCCGCCTACTCCTTCAACTTCCAGAGAGGCGTTCACCGAGCCTCACTTATGGCGGCAGCTAAGGCAAGGCAGGAAACGGCGATAGCAGCGAAAACGTGACACTTAAAAAATGAATTTGCTCCGTTTTAAAGTTCATATCGTGTGCAGTCATTTCATCTCATTCAACTTGCTAAATGCATGGGTGAATTTTTTTGGAGGGAAAACTCCTAAAGTTGTATCCAAGTTTAGGTCACTTCAAAACAAGATAAAGAAAATCGTCTTCTTGTTTTACCGTCGACCATTGCTCACATAAACTGAGGAAATTTTTCGTCGTAGTCGACGCATTGAAGGCTAGGAAATTTATCGAAAAGTGAAACAAACAGGTAGAGCGTTTAAAAAACCTTATTGCAGTTTTTGGCATTGCCGTTTCCCGCATCGACAAGGTCGTTCCATATTATGGAAGTCTCATAGGAAAGCGCTCTTGTCACCCTTAAGCCCCTCTGGGTCAGAGTAACCGTAACACCATCTTGCGGTTAGTGATTCAAGTCCTCGACACCAACTGTCGATGATCAATATAGATTAGCCTACTCGAGAATCGGCTTCATTCCACTAACAACTTGACGACTGTTCGCGCTACTAAGGCCTCTATTTCGCCCCATGTAAGCGAATCCAAGACAGTCTTGGATTCTAGGTTACACGTCGTGGGTTCCTGATTCCAGTCCTTTTCAGTGGAACACGGATTCTGGATTTCAATCTTTAACAGGTTTCTGAATTTCCTGAGCTGTTTTCTGGATTCCACAAGCAAAAATTTTCCCCGGGATTTTGTATTCCACGAACAAAAATTTTCCGGATTCTTTTACATGGGGGGACTCTATCGGTAAGACTTAGGGCCTCATTAACTAGAATACTTTCGATTTCAAAATCTCTGTCTCATTAAAAGAATGATTAAGAGGCAGCCAAGGAGGAAGGAGTGAAAAAGGGTAATACCCCTATGGAATGTGATTTGAAAGGTCTTTTTAAAATCACAGTTGAGGAAACGAAGTTGAAAGAAAAATGTACCGTTTCTTCTATTTGGAAAAAAGTCTTTTCGGCATCTATATTATCAGTTCCAGTTTCAGTTTCAATCGGTTCTCTTTCGGCTTCGTTTAAAAACTCTCTGATTTAAACCGTCAAATGAGAACTCTTTTGAAACAGTTTTAAATTACTTGTTTCATTGATTATTCAATGCTCGAAGCCA